AAACTGTATTTTACATCTAATAAATTGTATATTCAAGATACTCGTATTGTTCTTATTCTTCATTTATTATTCGAATTACTCAGAAATTGCCACGACCTGCCGTATTACAATTCGCCCTAAAATATGTTTGAAGGTTCTTCAAATTATTTATTGTTTGCTCGTGGTTGAGAATTGATTGGTGAAGTTATTTATTTTGATTGATCTCGTCTCACGATGGTGAATTCGTGATCCTGAAGGATCTTTGAGCGTTTCAGGTTGAACAGAAATTTTTGGCGACCACTTTCAAACCTTTGAGTCTTAGGTTTCATATTACTTTCAACGATTTCAGTGCCACGAAAATAAAGCTTTTCTTTGTAAAAGTTACACTTTCAACGCTCCTTTAAGTATATCACTGACATTCGTTAAAGTTTCGATCAGATTCTACTTCGAATTAGAAATTATATTTTTAAATCCTTCAACAGTGGTAATTAGAATTTGTCGATTATTATTTTGATAAATTTGGAACATTTTGTATAAGTATAGCAACAACAGTATAATTATTATTTACTTTGTTGCTTTGTACATAACATCATAGTTAATTATTTGCCGGGATTTGCTAATTTTGTACTCGAATGGAATCAAGACATCTTTTCAAAAGACTCTTTTGCTCTTTTTTATAAAATTCAGTCTGGTGAAAGTACTTCAATTATTTTGTACTTGTATTCAATGTTGATTTTTTACCTTCTACAAGGAAGAAATAAGAAATTATTCTTACTTATATTCACCATACATATAAAAAGAAATTGATTTAAATGAGCAAGAAAATAATGTACTCTTTTAGTATATCATGTTTATTATACTATAATTTTTTTATTTAATGATTTTTCATTTACTCTATATCATTTTACCGCAAAGAAATTGATATTTTACATGATTCTTGTAGAAAAAGTTGAAATCTTTTCCATTACTTAAACTGTCATATAAAAATCTAATAGTAAGATTAGATTTTGGTCGGTTGCAAAATAACAAACGACGTCTTGATTTAAACGTTTCATTTTGGACACATTGTTCATTATTTTTTACAATATATTCATAGGATTTTTTAATTGTTTCCTAACAGTCATATTTACAATAACCTCTATTTTGTACGTGTACATGAATTTCACGTGCGAATGAATTCATTCCCTTTAAATATTTCCATTTCAAAATATAAAATTCTTCATAATAATTGAAAATCACTGATTCTCTCTACTTCCTTCATTTTCTATCAAACCTTATACATCCGTAGCTGTCGTTAATGAACATTAAAATTTGCCTCAGTCTGTTACAGGACATTACGTACAGATAAACAGCCTTTAATCAGAATACAAGAGAAAAGAGACTCAAAGGATTGAAAGATTTAACAAAACGATCGTTCCTAATATCAAGTAATTGAAAAATAAATGAATATTAATTACAAGCAAGAAACTATAAGAATTCGTTGAATACAGTTTTAGTATAATATTTTTCACGATAACCCATTGTTAAGATCAGCTGTCCAACAAGTGAACCGATCGGAAATAATTTTCTTGTCGATTTCTCACTCCTTTTGTTTCCTTAGTATTTTTACATACACTTATCTATAGGTTACGATAGCTTAAACGCGAGTTTACGTTGTACTGTTCACTTTCACGAATCATCTGACGAATAAACTTACTATGATTTACTTACATTTTAATGAAATAATAATTATTCGAATGAACCTTCGATCGCAGAGGCGAGACAAAATGATCTGTCGGATGAATGTTTCACTCATAAAGTGTGACAACAAGTGAAACATCTATCCAAACATTAACCCCTTGCCTGACGATTTATTTTCAGTCAAATATTCCTGTTTCGCTGATTAATTTCGTCATAACTCTGTGAGCACGACTATTTTAACACTATTTCTACCGAAGATGTCAAAAGACGCCTTTCGAAATTTCAACTTAAAATTATTCTCTCAATTTAATAATTTTTCCTCAATTGAATTTTGGACATCTCCTATAGTTAATTTTATAATAGTTATTGGAAAAGTCCATTCAGAATATACGACTAAACTTGGAGACTAATTTTAGGTTAAAATTCGAGGTGTCCTCTGACGCCTTCGGTAGAAATAATGTCAACACTGAAACTACCAAGCAATGAAATTAACTTTTTGAAATTGCTCTATAAAAACTTCAAGAACATATCTATTTAGACTTTAATTGATTTTTAATTCAGTTTGCACATAGCTGCATCTAGTCACGGTACAGCCTGTTTGTAAAATAATTGGCGAAATCCAGTTTCGCACCGAGTGAAACTCGTCGTTTCAGTTCAAGGGGTTAAGTTTTACTGAGCTGCGGTTGATTCTAATGTTTGGATGTCGCTACTCACGATTCTTATGATACGGTACAAATAACATATTTCACTCGAGTGTGTATACATTTTACATAAGTTATCGGTTTTTTAATAGCATTTGTCGACTCGCGATTTAATTAATGAACGTTGCAACGATGTTCGGTTTTTGTTTCGTTCATCGGCGTTGGAGGACAATCATTTAACACGTTCACGTCGAGATATGTTCTTAGATTTTCAATCGTGGATTCTAATAATAACAAACCAATGGCTGGAAGAATGACGGAGTATATTCTTTTATTACATAATTAGTTTTCTGACTTTAGTTGCTAATTGTGGAGAGACGTTAATAAATAATTTAATAAATGAATCATTAATGTTATTTCATTTTAATATTGTAAATTAGCCGAGTACCACCGGTGGTACATGCCGGTGTGAACGTGTTAAACTATAAGGTACAAACAAGGCAACGATTTAGGAAGATAATTATACACGGTTTGTTACAGGAGTCTCCGGATATGAATCAGAACGACGACTTGTCTGAGGTATTGATGAGATTTGTTAATTACAATTAGACCGTAGACTATGTGCATTTATAACGTACACAATTTCTTAAAATCCAGTGAAGTAAGGACAAAGTTTAATTAAACATTCTGAGGTTTTTTATTTTCTTTCGATTCTGAAATCTTCAGTGGATTAATCAACTTTCTATTTAATACTACTTTATGTAAACTACTTGCATTTTGAAAAAATACACAATCATATAGGAACATATTTAATATATTTTTCAAGATGGTTGTAAGATGATTAGTATTTTTGATTTTTAAATTGTTAATAGCACTTTTTGTCTTCGAAAGACATTGTATCCGTTCATTTGATATTGTTATATTATTTTGCCTTCCTAAATTGGAAATAAAGATGAAGCTAGGATTATCTAGGATCATATGTGTTAGCTGCTCTCATTGTTAAAAACAGTATACCTAATTATTATGAACGATATAATCAATTTTCTTAAAAAGACAAACAAACTATTTGGAGTAGTATTGTAATTAATATAAGTCATCAATATCTCAGAAAAATGAGTTGTTTTACTTTCAATATGAAAACTGTTGTCACGAACCGTGTAGTTAGAAGAAAATCAATTAGCCACTCAAGGACACTAAGGATGTTTACAATTAAACGCAATGCCCATGTCATTACATACTTATTACTGTAATTCTTCTTGCTTATAATTTAATTTCTCTTCTATAGACACTTCATCTATTTATTTATATTAATAAACATGTTTCCTATTCTCGTGATTGGTCATAATATGTGTTGCAATGTACGTTTAATCCTTTCACTGCTGACACCATACATAATAGTATCGTCCATATGTGTCTGGACACTTGGTGGAATCCGATTAAGAACATTCTATCGTTATTACAATATAAATATACCTTATAAGAATCGTGTGTTACACAGTGGCTTTATCATTGATTTTTTAATTGACACTCATTTGCAAATCAGAGATTCGAAACAAGACCATTTTCATCCTGGTCACAGTCGGGTATGAAAATGGTTTTTATCTCGAACACGAGAAGTGTGTACATCAGGTGTCTGTATATTTGGAAAAGAATTCACCAAAAATTCATTTAATTCAGAACAATAATAATTTAATACCATAAATCTCGATCTCTTGGAAAGGAATAATTTAACATCTGTCTTCATTGAAATACAACCGTAAAATATAAAGCAGATATAGAAAGGAAGCACTTGAAATGATCCTTTTCATATCCTCGACACTTGTTTCCACCCAACATTAATTATTGCACATTTATTTGTACAAGTAGACGTTAGAATTCATTGTTCATTATCCAATATTAACCGAACGTGTGTTTATGAAGGATTCAATTGAAACGTCCATACATATCGTAATTCTTGGGGGAGGTGTATCTAAATACCTATGGACGGGGATTTAGATTACCATTGAAAATGTTTGCCCCACTTCTAATGGTTAGAGAAAGAAAAGAAAAGTAATACTTTTAAGTTCACTATTTTTTTCTCTTATATATAAATGTTGGAGCATCGTTAGCTATCTAAATACGGGCGTCGTATACAGGCGGCAATCCGAAAAGCGCAATAATACAAACACGTATGTAGATATTACATAAAAGAACTATCCATTTCTATTATTGGTAATTAAGAGCATCGATGGAAGGCATTTCTGCAATTTCTTTTAAAAATACGCTCAATTCCTCGGAATATTTATTTAATAATCGGCATACAAATATCCCTCCGCATACCGTGGATGATTTTCAGTTTAGATGCGCTGCAGTGAAAGGGTTGAAACCGCGTTTAAAGCATATTAAAACGGAACCTTCAAGTTTTGGGGCTAGAGATGGTAATATCAAACAGATTGAATTAGAACGTTACAGAAATCATGATCTTTTATCGTAACGCCAGCTCTATAAACTATTTAACTAACCTTATTACTGCATGTAAATTTATTATTGCACACGAAACATTGTT